TCACAACATAAATAAACAAAACAATTGTCCTTTTTCAACAGTGCTTGAATAACATAAAATTCATACAAAGATGACCAAAAGTATTTCAATTTTACCAGAAAAACACTCTACGAAGCATTTTTAACCTTTTGCACTCCAGCTTAGGAATGTATAGAACAACAAATCCAGCACTAAATTAGTTACAAGTGTACATATATAATTATAAAAAAATACGGTTGCTGCAAAAAAACAATATTTATTCTTTAGCCACATCATATAAAACAAATTTATATATCTTCAATAAAATGAAAATTTTATGTTTTGTTATTTGTCACAGTGTGACATTTTTGGAAATGGTCACAAATATGGTTGCAAGGTTTCCCACTGAAAGTATCACAAAATTCAGAAGTTTAACATTTTCTTTCCGATTCTGAAGATGAAGTATCAGTGATAATTAGTTTATGCAAAAGCACTCAAGTAAACAAAATATGTAGCCATAGCAGCGACTGATGGTTTAAAGTTCATATTTTAAACACTGCAATATAAGCACTAACAGCACACAGAATTTAAAAACCTCCTTTAATTGTAAAGTCTCATGAATATTGCAATCAGAGAATTGTATCTTATTAAAGATTATCAAATTAGGAGAAAATTGAATAACAATTCATAATATTATAATTTAACAGAACTTACAAGTTTTAAAAAATGGCAAAAAATAAAGGAGAAAAAGACAATTATGAATATTTATTATGCAAATCAGGATTGATGTGTAAATAATAGCTAAAAATTATATATATATATAAAAGGAAACCCATGATTACAGTCTCACTTAAATAACATCTAATCGAAGTTCAAGTCAGAAAATAAAAACTGCATATTTCATCAAATAAATGCTGAAAAATATGAAAACAATCCCCGATTTAAGTGGCTTTTAAATTATGAAATATGCTTAAAGCAATAAACTGAACAGGACTATTTCATGCATTATATGATTTCTTACTTTAGTTAAAACTGGATCAATATTTTAATCCAATAAAAATAAATATGCATGCAAGATTCATTTTGAACAGGTTTTATTGTACCCCCAATGTCAGTTGCAATGGATTTTAAAGCCTCTATGAGCATTGGAAGGAAAAAAATTGTCTATTCCTTTTCTGTTTATAATATATACTATACATATATTTAAATGTATAGTAATTATGACTATACATTTAAATATATATATATTTAAATGTATAGTCATAATTACACATTTAATAGTAAATACATATTTAAATACAAAAACAAAGTTTTAAATTCAAGGAGTGCATTTCTGAATGAATACAGCTGAAAATTAATTACGATTATATTTAGTATATAAATCTAGTTTCTATTTTTAAATAATTACAAAAATTTGCAGCATTTAACAAAAGAATACTTGTTAATAATACTTTACCTCTTATAAGAGTGGCAGCTGTTCCTTTGTAAATACTTCTAATTCCTCCCTCTTTGTACAACTTCTTTACACAATCAACAGGTCCAGCATATTTTATTTCAGCACCAGAACCTGCTGCTTGTTGGACCTTTTTTTCGTTATAAAAAGAAAATATTACAAAATATTCTAAGCAAAAGTTTGATTCATAGCTCATAAATTTAAATATGAATAACATAAGATTATATTAGAGAACCTAGTATTGAAATAAGTAAGCAATTTTAAGAGTTAATTTTATATGTCACAGACCTGATATAACATTGTAAAAATGATTAACATTGTAATTTTTCATATATACTGATAGATTTTATTATTTTTCCCATGAAGAAAAAAATTCAATATTAGAATTCAGTGTAAGTATAAATACTGCAGATATCTAAATATTTCACTATTCATCAAAACAGTACTATTGTGCATTACATGAAAATATTACAGTAAGAATTTATGCTAAAATATTTATTCAGTAAGACTATAAATAATGAGTACCAATATTTTGAAATCATTCAAATACCACACTTTTACATTTTCCATGAATAGTTGTTTCAAACAATTTTTTTTCAATAAAGCTACACAATTTCACAAATAACAGAAAAAAAAAAAAAAAAGAGAACTTTATAGAAAAATAAATAAAATGATTCCACAAGATGGGTATGAAAAAGAACCAGAGCAACATTCACATTATAACATCAATGCAATTTTTAAACTAAACATTTGTTAATTACTACTTTAAGCATGTTTCATTGTTCTAATATGCAACACTAAATGTTTGTTCTCTTTTCTAAAGAGAAAACTTTTGCATACAAAATTACAATCGTTAAGTAAAAATAACTATGCATACAAAACATAGTAAGCATACAATTACAAAAAGAAAGAAAGAAAAGAAAAAAAAACTGTTCATACAAAACATAGTATGTATATAATTCACTAACTGTTTAAAGGAATACAGCATTCAAAAGATTGAAAACTATGAGGAAGTAACAAAGTGTTAATTATTTCCAAGAAGTAACCAAGATATCAGGATAAAATTTATTCTACATATTGATTGATTGATCCTTATGTACATAATGTAGTAAATTAAAACTTTTCATGTTGATTTGTTTAGTTTCAGAAAGTTGTAAATTGAAGTAATCTGCAGTATAGTAAAGCTTTAATTTTTTACTGGATCTCATAAATTTCAATTACTAAAAAATAATCAAGATAGAAATTAAATTTTTATGGATTATTCTTAAGACTTCTTTACATAATCATCATCCAGAGTTGCTTCATTGCTTCTTGACCTTTTAAAGGCCATAATTGAGGAGATTGAAATTCTAACTTCTCTATACTGGGGGTTATTTCAATCTACAGCTTCCAGAAAAGAAAAATAGCTGTAATTCACAAAATTATGTATGTGAGAATCAATATATATATATATGCAGTATAACTTTTATCCAGATATCTGAGTTGTTTCTTAGAGATAAGTAAGAGTTTACAGTACCCTTCACATATAATTAAATACTATGACAAGTATCATACAAGTTACTTCCTCAGTCAACTAATAGATACCTACTGCAATATGATGTAATTTTTAACCACATGAAAGTAATATTTATACAAGTGCAAATTTACTTTTTGCCTCAACCGGAAAACTTTAGTTCCTTGTTTAATGACACCAGATGCTTATAAAAGTTTAATCAGGAAACTGCTTACTGCCTTTAGATTAGGAAAGGGGAAATACTTATTAGTATTTCAGAAGAGTTTGCTAACAAGTTATATTTTTATAAATAGGAATTAAAACTGCTATCTTATTCTTCAGAAGAGTTTGCTAACAAGTTATATTTTTATAAATGGGAATTAAAACTGCTATCTTATTGTACCTGTAAAAGGCACTTGATTCGTTCTCCAGGTGTCATAATTGCTGTTGTAAACACACCTGATAACATCCCAGCATTGAACAATTGTATATACCTGAAAAAAAAATAATAAAACTTTAAGAATAATTAAAAACACAAAGGGGATTATATTTATTAAGCACATTAAATTTTAAGTTTAATAAAATCAAATTTAAAAAAACTAAGTTTTTTTAACAACAATCTCAGCTGTAAAAAATCATAACCTAGAAATTTGGTGGAATAATGATAACTCTAATAAAAAATTTGTCAAAGTTTTTCATCAATTAATTGATAAAAGTTATTGCTACTCAAACAAATTGGTAAATCAATAAAACATATAAATAACACTGGTAAAAAAAACAAGTTTTTTACACATGGGTGTTTTTTTTACAAACTTCACACTTTCCATAACATAATTTTTTTATACCTTAAAAATTTACAAGGGGATAGTTTAATTTGCTGGTTTTAATATTCCACAGTTTCAATGTTGTAAATAAATGGAATTATTAGAAAAATTTAATTCTTTAAATAATTGGTTTTAATCAATTAATTTGTAAGAATTAAAGTGTTTTTTTTTTTATTTTTTATTAACAACATTGCACAAGAAGCAACACAAGGCCATTGACCTCATAATTTTGAACCTCAGCTGAGTAACTAGGACGACATCTGAGTTGGCACTCCTCTCCTAACTTTCACACCATGCAGATGAGAGGACTTTGCATCAGTTCTAAGTACATGGTGGGTCTTTAGCAGCATCAAGGCTCAAACTCATGACTCGAAGAAAACCGTCAGCCGCGAGTTCGCGGCCACAATTAAATTATAGTATTGTCAACCAAAAAAATATCAAAACAAAACAATCCTTATGCTAAAGATGTTGAGTTCTGTCAGTAAGAGAGAGCCACACAAAAGAAACTTCGAAACTTGTGTTTTTAATACATTTTCATAAGCACAATAATAAAGAAACAATCTTTTTCAAAAAGCTATATTACATTCTACAAACTCCATGACAAAATTTGAACTGTAGAATTATAATTTTTACCTATTACATTTTTCACAAATCAATTATGAAAACAGTTACAGCAAGCAATTCCTTTAAACAAATTTTATATATTTCACAACCAAATGATCATGCTTTTAAAAATCAAATTACTGAATTAAATATTAAAACAAACCATAATATATCAAAGAAGCTAATAATACTTCAGTCAAATATATAAATAACACCAGAAAAAATAAATTTTTTGAACATGGGTTTCCTTTCAAACTTCACATTTTGTGTAACAATTTTTTTATGCTTTAAATTTTAAGAGCAAGAGGGAATGTTGAGTCAAATTTATTTTATTCAATAATTAGTTTTAATAATTTATTTTATTATTTGATGTTTATTAAATTTATCATTTCAAATAAATATGTGTAAAATATTTTAGCTCAATTAAGCATTGGATTTGGCGACTTGGCAAGAAACTTGGTGTAAAATTTAATTATTCAAATAATAAGTTTTAATTGATTTTTTATCAATTATAATTGAATTATATTGTCATCCAAAACAATTATGTATAAAAAATTTCAGCTCAATTGAGTGCTTTAAAATATGAGTAAAAAAGCTTTTAAAGTTTAGACCCAGACAAAGTTACAATGAGAGTAGAAGAAAACCCATTAAGGACGGAAGCATTCACCTTTGGAGGAGCTGGGGATCGAAGCCAGGGCCTTTCACATGCAAAGCGAACACTCTACCCCAAGCTACATTTCAACTGTTTCAATATTAAACTATTTCACATTGTAACAATTGGAATTATGAGTAAAATTTAATTCTTTAAATAAATAGTTTTAACCCTTTGTGGATCAGTGCTCCATGCAGTGGAACACCTAAACTGATTCCCTTCTCTAACCATTAAATTCTTTAATAAATATAAATTGGTTCCCCCATTTCCTTTTACCTTTCTACTTAAATAAGAGATGATAGCACCATACAAGCCAATCCATAATTTTCAAATACAATGCTTAATGTAAAATCTTATATTTCCATGGAATTTTGTCTAGTTTTTTTTTTCAGAAACAAAAGTCACTACTTGATAAGCAATTTTTATATTAATCTGTTGGCTACAGAGTAAATTATTTATTTTATATTATTTTAATTTTTTTATACCAAGCATACATGTAGCATCATTGAATAATGTGGGGATGTTCCCTAAATGGGAACACAGTGACTCTAGCCCTTTGCATATTATGCAAGAGAATGCGATAACACACAGAACATTTAGTTTCTGTTTTTCCCTGTGTGGTTTAACTTAGTGACACTAGGTTGAGTAAAATGTTTAAGAAGCGTGAAGGATCATACACAGCTTAAGTAAATTCTTTTAAATTTACAACTGTATTTGTAAGTTAACAAGGCATTTTCATCTTATCACATTTAGCAAACAGATATTAAACACATGCCAATTAATGTACAGAAGATGTGCTTTTTTATGTTTTACAAGACTATTTTTTTGTGCAAAACCTGCAATGTTGGTTTATGTTTCTTCCAAAAGAGAATGACTTGTTACCAAAAATATCATGAATCTATACAAAATAGACCAATTTGTAAATAGGACTCGTGAATATAAAACTATAAATATTTATTAATTAAAAATCATATATAACTAAGATATATAGTGTTTGTTCATTCATATGTGGTAAATATTACTCATTCTCATAATTTTCTAACCAAATAAAACTCTTTGGCTGCAGAACACTAGTGGGAATATTTGATTGATTGTTTATTAATGTTGCACACAGAAACAAAATTAGGGCTATTAGCTATCGATTTCACAATCTTGAATCTCGGTCTAGTGACAAAGGACACAACACCCAAGTTAGCACCTCTCCTCTCCAAACTTCCATGAACTAGTGGAAGTATTCAAAACTCGGTAATACTTAAATATAAAGAATTTAGAGATATTTTTTAAAAAGGAAGTCACCAAAATCATAAACTTATTCCTCAAAAGCGATCTTCACCAAACTCTTTAAATGATGTACTTTAGATAAAGGGATGATTTACATTAGAAAAAAATTAAATAAGTACTTTAAAATATAAGTAAGCAAAAAAAAAAAAAAGTAAGCTTACGATAATTGTTCTTCAGGATGCTTTTGTTGAAGTCTCTTTCCTACCCCAAATCCAAAGAAACATACAGCAAACATAGGAGTTACTCCAGTTATGGGAGCAGCCATACCTTTATACAGACCTAAAAAGCCCTAATCGAGTTTTAAATGAAGATTAGAAGTTATTTAAAGAACAAGAGGCACTTTTGATGAGTAATACAAGAACAAATAAGTAAAACCAAATAACATATACCTAATTTATTGGAAAATGTTACAGATAACACAATTTAGCTTGTGCACGGCGATACTGATGAAGTTCAGGTTCTGAATGGCCATGGAAGAAGTAATCCAGACGTAGCACAATGTACTCAAGAGTGAAATGTAATGTATCATTAGTATGTTTCGCACATGTTGCGTTATGCGATTTTTTAGATCATTGAAGTTTGCAACATCTCCATGGTACACATTAGATTTTAAGTACCTCCAAAGCCAAAAATCACAAGGTGCCAGATCAGGGGGATCAATGTAGTCCTGCCATACGAATATACTGGTTTACAACTCTATTGTCTGTGAAATATTATAAGAGCTGTTGTACTGCTTGCCCAGTGTGGAATGGGGCTCCATCTTGCACAAAAAGCGTTTCAACACAATCTTTACAGTAGTAGAGGAACTACAAATGTTTGCAACATGTGCAGGTATTGTACAGTAACCAAACATGTTACAGGTCCAGATAGCCATAACTCTTAAAAAAATAAGAACCAAAATTGAAACTTGCAGTAAAGCCACACCCCATCATGAGCTTTGGAAAGTGAAGGAGTCTTTCTTGAATAAAATTTGAAGGCTCTGCAGCCCATATTCTATAGTTCTGCACATTGACAGCCCTATTTAAATGAAAGTTGGTTTCTTCTCCCCATCCACTCATGTTAAAAATGTTCCAGTAAAATCCAATCTCTGTTGTGTGTCATCTGGTAACAATCATTGATGATGACTAATCTTATATGGATAAAATTTGATTATTTTTCTCAGGGTATTTCAAACAGTATCATATGGAATATCTAACTCTCAAGAAACTTTACATGCACTAGGAACCAGCTTTCGGAGTCCCTGATGACTCCACAATTACAGTGGTAATTTCTTCTTGCTTGGGGAGAGGTACTGTTTTCCTCCCCCTTCCACATTTAGCATAAAGCAGCTGAACTGTTAATGCAGAATAGTTTTAAAATCAAAGCACGATCTGGCAAACTAAGAGGCATTTCATACTATGTTACCAGCAGAAATATAAGTTAACAAGATTTTATCTGGACACATGACCCTTTTAACTTCTAATCTCCATATATGACAGAGAAAGACTGTATTGAATTGACTTTAGCTTTCTTTGCCCAGAACTGCATTTTATTTTAAAATTTAGTGAACATATAGAAAAGTGGTGTTGAATTTAGAAAAATACTTTGATTTACGAGAGCGGTCTGAAAAGTTTGACCTAACAAATATAAGAAAATTTTTTTCTTTAAATTTATATTTCTTTACAGTCTCCTAGCAAATCTACACACTTCTCCCAGAGATGATCCCATCCCTTTAACCTTTCCAAATAGTACTTGGCATCTTTCTCTGAAAAATAATTGTACATGAAGGTGATGGCCTCCTCATTTAACAAAAACCATTTTCTTCGAATGCAATTTTTAGATTAGGGAGCAAAAAAAGTTGCTTAGGGCTAGATCTGGTGAATAAAGAGGGTGGTCAAGCAGTTCAAACCATAATTCATGGATTTCCACCTTGGCGATCTCTGAGGTGCGAGATGGCACCTTGTTTTCGTGAAACAGAATTTTTTCTGAAAATGTGTCCATCTTTCTGCAATTTCTATCTTCAACTTGTCAAATAATGATGCATAGTATGTTCCTGTAATAGTTTTTCTTGTTTGAAGATAATCAATTAAAATAACTCAACTATTACAAAAAGCAATGACCATCCCTTTCCCAGCCAAAAAAACAGTTTTTGCTTTTATAGAGCCGATTCTCTCTTCACAATCCACTGTCTTGACTTTTGTTTCAGACATATAATGGTGTCACCATTCTTCTACAATAATTAATCAGTGCTAAAACTCTGATTTATTGCCCCTAAACAGCACCACCAGAGGGTTTGTAATGTTCATTCTAATCTAATGTTAATTCTTGGTCTAATGTGAGCAAACAAGGCACCCAACCCACAGAAAGCTTTCTCATGCCCAAATATTGATTCAATAAGTGACAGATATGTTCTTTGGACATTTTCATAACCCCTGCTTTCTATCCCACTTTTATTCAACAGTTTTCTAGCATCATTTGGTGAACTTTAGAGATGTTATCAGTGGTTGCAGTTTTTGGATGTTCCAAAAGTTCATCACCCAAGTTGGCATGGCCACGTTTCATTTCAACTGCCCAAAATTTCATGGTGATAAATGATGGTGCAGAACCATACACAACACCCAACTCATTTTTTTATTTGTGTAGGTGTATAGCCTTTCAAAAACAAATATTTAATGACAGCTCAATACTCGATTTTTTTTTTTTTTCATTTTTAAAAAATACTCACATCAACCTGCTCAAATGATTGTCAAACAGCTGCAAGTCCAAAATAGCTGAAATTTTAATGAATACCTGTCAAAAGATACATAACCACATTCCCTAACTTCAATTGACAAGTGCTGCCATCTTCCTGTTAAGGTCCGAAACTTTTCAGGACCCTTACAACTGGCAGAAATGACTGCTTCTTGATTCTGGTGATGATTACAACAGCATTTGCACTGACAGCACCATCTATTGGACATTGTTACAACTATTTTCTTAATTTCTATTATTTTCCCCCTTCTCGAATAGTAATTGTACCGATTTTGGTTTCATTCGGGTTACTTCTTCAAGCTACAGACAACTCCAAATAGAGATACTTATTTTACAACCATCTAAGTGTATATATATAGGACTCCTTGAAGAGTCATACATACATATATTCGTAAGCAAGAGTTGTAAAGAAAAGTAAACACAGATTTTTGGGTGAATTAAAGATGTTACAAGTGCTCTTGTAACATTTTATGGAGGTGTAGATATTGGGAAAGGATGCAAGAGCAAACGAAAAGGCTTTGAAAAATATGAAAAAATCTGAAACTGCCCATGTATCCATATCTCTGTTTAAATATACAATCCAAGTTTATGACATAAAATTTAAGTTATTTCTTACACTGAATTATATAAAAGGATAAGTGTTACAATACAATTTGGTAAAAACTATGGCATAAAACAATTTGGATAATTAGAAGCAAATGTGACTGTAAATTAAAGTAATATTGAAATTTCGATAAAATCCTATTTTAGCTCACTGCTTCGAGAGAATTAAAATTGCACCAAACATGCTATTTTCAAATTTGAAGCTACTACAGCAAGAAACAAGATAGTGTTTTATCCAAAAGAAAAAAAAAAAAAAAAAAAAAAACGTGGAAAAGATAGGTTTTTCAGAAAACATGAAAATAGCATTAAAAGTATTTATAACAGATAAAATAGCACTTAAACAATGGAGGGGGGAACTCTCCTCATTTTGAAGAGACTTCCATATCATCAGGCAGGTAAACATTGATCATTGTGTGGAAGATATCTTGAAACATTTACCAAACCATATTTCTGTTAAACGCAAAATTACAAATAT